AATCTACCTTAGCAAAAAAATTGGACCATTTCTCGATTTATGCGTCTGGTTCTTTTTTTTCTTTTTTTTTTTAACCGTACCAAAAAAATTGGACCATTTCTCGATTTATGCGTGTCATCCTTGCCCAGGGGCCGTTTTGCTAATTACCCTTCTCTGTATCGTTCCAATTTTAACGGATGTCCCCAAGGACAGGTCTGTGTTTTTTTATGAATTTGTAGTCGCTAGACTCGCTACTTTGAAGTGAAAGATGCAGGTTACATCTTGTGCATGCTATTTTTATTATTTTTAAACAGCAGCTACTACTTACAGCGATGATGATATGAGCTCCCCCCGATATCAGCCCCTCCGTTGGCTCCAATCATATTGGTCGGGATTCGGGAGCAGCACCTGCTGGAAATGGGGTCCAGCTTCCCTGTAGCGGTATATGGCGGAGGTCCCACTAGCAAAGAGGATCGGATCTGAATGGCATTGCCTGAATCTGGACGTGTTCGTGGAGAGGTGCAGGAAACCGAGATGGGACTGCTTTCATGCATCTCTGCACAGAAGTTACAGAACACATCCAGATTCAGGAGCTTAATCAACCAATCCTCTCTCTTTGCTAGTGGGACCTCGCCCTATGTCGGGACCTGATTACGATGATTACGAGAGAGCGGCAGCCGCGCTCACTTCAGCTTATGGGCCTCACCGCACGGTGCACGAAACGAAAAAAAAAAACGACTTGGTTTCGCGAAGGAGTCGCTGCACAGCACCCACACGACCTCTGTCAGAACGCAAGTCGTGAATGCTGTCAGACTCCAAGTTCGCGAGCTTAACAACTTGCGCTAGTCCTCCCTGCCTGCAGCATTCAAGAACTCGTAGGTCCTCTGCTGGTCGTCTGGAGGAGCTGCGAAATCTCACGAGTGTGCCGTGTCGCTCCAACAGAGGTCTGTCCAAAAAATTGGACAGTAGCGAGACGAATCCCGCACGACTCTTGCCAGGGCGTTCTCATCAGAGTTTTCGTGTGTGCAGTGGGGCGGTGAGGCGAAACGAAGGCGAAACGAAGCGAAACGGTGGATCCGGGCTTCGTGAGGACTCCCGAGTTTGGTGGTCGTTTATTTCGTTAGTTGCGCCGTCCGCCGTCCCACAAGGCCCTTAGCCAGCTTCGCTTTTTATGGCACCGAAAGGAACCGAAAGTAGTCAAATTGTCAGGAGATTGGATACCTGAATCTATGCATGATCTACACTAGTACAAGAGGGGAGGAGTGACACAGTGCGAATACAGTCTAAATTATCAAGAGGTGGGGTCGGGGTTTAGGCTAGGCATGGCTGGGGGGAAGCGGGGGTAAATAAGGGGGGAAGAGAAAGGGAAAAGGAGAGAAAGAGGTGGTGTAGAAGGGACTCGGAGAGAATGAGATACAGAAGGATTGGGTGGACTGAATGACAGAGGGTGGGGTACGTGGAAGAGGTTGGGAGTGAGAAGTAGATAGGCAAGGGGGGGGGTAATATGGTAAGAAGGGAAGGGTATGTGGGCAAGGGCCTAAAAGTAAGCGGCCTGAACCAGCCTAAACAGCCGCGTGTCGGAGCCAGAATCTCTGGCTCCTTCAAAGCTTGGCACTCTCCTTCCTCCACCCCTCAACCACACAGCTGGGGGCCTACTGTGGCCTGAACTAACCGAGTGCCCTGGTTCAAGGACGGTAGTGTTGCACAGTGTCACACACGGGAGTCCTTCATGTTCTATTGAAGTGTCACACACTGTCAGTCTTTTTTTTTTTTTTTTTTTTTTTCCATTCCTTCACTCCACTGCGTGGCATGCCACCTCTTGGAAGTAGGAGAGCTACCGTCTTCCCCCGAACACAACGCACCCTCATTTTGACTGTATCGACCTCAGGCTGGGAAGTTCGGTTGTATACACGTTCATTATTAGGTTAGGGACCGTTAGGGTGCTTCATGTTCGGGGGGCAAGAGGGTAGTAGCACCAACCCCAAATCGGTAAACGGATATTATGCAGTGAATTATCCTTGCATTTTTTTTTTCCCTTTTTTTTTTTTTTTCCCTCTTTTCTAAAGGGCGATGGCCTTGAGGGAAAAAAAAAAATGAAAAAAATGAAAAAAAAAAAAAAAAAAAAGCATCGTTGAGCTGGCCAGCACCAGGTAATTCAGAAGGATTTTTTTTTTTTTCATTCTAGTCATCTCATCGTGACTGGGTTCGAACTTGGGTCTGTGGGGAAAAAAAAAAACTCGGGTCTGTATTTCAACAGTTCAGGGCCCTTTCAATTGTTAAGGGGTGTACCAACTGCTGAGCTAGGCCTGTTGAGTTGGCCCTGTCAATTGAGAATGTTCGTTTTTTCCAAATTGACAACAGAAGGTGTTATGTGTCCCAATGAATCAATGATGGAGACAGACTAAGGGCGCAGCCACACCACTCAAGAAATGAGAAAATGTCGCTGCATACTTCTGAAGAAGGCGGCAAGATACATCCGTTGATTGCAGCAAGATTCGCCCAGGACTGGCTCCTGATGCCAGCCAGACGCATTTGTGAAAATGCTAGTGTGGGGGCATACTCACACTAGCACTCTTTTTCGTATTTCTGGCCCGAATTTGGGCCAGATGCATACAGGTCGGGCCGTGAATGCAGTCAGATCCATGCATGATAGTGTACTTGTCTGATTCGTAGTGAGCACCCCCTGAGTGTGCCTTTAAAACGGACGTTTGTCTGCTGTTGCGAGAAAGAGACGACATTTGTTTTGCTTTAAAAAAAAAAAAAATCCCCTTTTTTCCTTTTTATTTAATGCCACCACATTTCCATAAGAATGCATTCTTCCGAGCGTTTACAAAAAAAAAAAAAAAAAAAAAAAAAAAAAAAAAAAAAAAAAAACCAGCGCAGCAGGCCGGTTCATCCCATATTGTGCACGGCTGCGTTTTGGGGCTGTACTGGTGGTTTAAGAGTATTAATTAACCATTCTCTTGCTGCTTCTGGTATCTTTGCACATCCACCTCCCTCCAGTTCTTTTTTTTTTTTTTTTCTTGGACAAAAGTAAGCTACATTCTTCTCTCCATTTCAGTTGGACTTTTGCCTTCCCGTACTGCAATGTCTTGGGCTTCTCAGATGACTAAAACAAACAGAAAACAAAAAACAAAAAAACAAAAAGGTTCTTTCATTAATAGTAGTTTAACCTAAAACTATCTGAAGTTCGGACAACATTGTTATCCCGCACCATCTTCTCCAATCCCTGCATCTGCATCTTATTGTTCTTTTTGTTGTCATAAACTCTCTCTCTCTCTCTCTCTCTCTCTCTCTCTCTCTCTCTCTCTCTCTCTCTGTGTGTGTGTGTGTGTGTGTGTGTGTGTGTGTGTGNTGTGTGTGTGTGTGTGTGTGTGTGTGTGTGTGTGTGTGTGTGTGTGTGTGTGTGTATGTACATGTATATGTATTAATATAATCCCGCTTCCCCCCATACATGTTGTTGGCAGCGACCATCTCTGTTGTT